AAATGGTGAGTAGCCATTTGTTCACTGAACATTGGGGTGGTAGGCGAAGGTCAGAAGTGGTACAAGAGTATCCCAGTTTTTGTGAGTGGGTTGGACGTAAACGGCTATCATGTCAGCAAGGGTCCGATAAAATCATTCTGTGAAACTATTTGTTTGAGGGTTGTAGCTTTAACCTGTCTTGTGAGTAGTTTCAGAAGCGCGCATGCAGTATTTAATTTAACATTTGTGACAGGAACACTTTGCCACGTGTTCACTAAAAAGCACACGAAAAGCGCCATGGCACAGGTTTATGGCTGCGTGAAGAATAAAGTCAGCAACTTCCATAGCTGAGCCTGTATTAACAAAGGAAGTCTCAGCGTAGCATGACAGGTGGCCCACGGCAGTCACTATCCATCGTTTGCCAGCAGATGTGATGGGGAGAAGCCCGTAAAGGTCGACACCTACAACGTAGAATGACACTGAAAGGCACGAAAGTGGCTCTAGAGGTTTAGCAAGTGCAGACGTCGAGAGTTTACGACGCTGGCATGGGGAGCAGAAACCGACATACCGCGCTACGCTTGAAGAAAGGCCAGGCCAGTAATAACAACATCGAATACGGTCAAGAGTTTTTTTTTTTTGAAAACCAAGATTACCTGCAGTCAAGTAACCGTGGAAGGCTTCGAACAACTAAGGTCGAAGAGAGCATGGAAGTACAGAAATCCAGCGCTGACCGTCACGATGGTAAATGTGGTGATTGAGAATTCTATTGTCCAGCTTGAAGTGCAGGAGTTGACGACAAAATTGCGCATTAGGTAGATGAGAAGCTCCCGAAAGATGGTCCATCATGCGTCTGCAGTATGAATCGGACCACAGGCAGGATATAAATGCTGGCTCGTCGTCCGAAAAGGGTTGCCTTTTGATGCAAGCGTATGAACCTAGGTAGATGTGGCGGTTAAGTTCTCACAAACGTTGTTATGGGTAGTTGGAAGCGGGCAACGAGATAAAGCCTCGGCGTCGTCATCTGACTTGTAAGTTATGCCAAAGTCGTACTTCTGCAAGCGCAGTATGCACCGACCCGAGCATCCGGACAAGTTCTTTAGTGTAGAAAGCCAGCATAAGGCGTGGTGGTCTATAACGATTATGAAGTGGCGGCCGTAAAGATAGGGACGGAACTTCTGCACCGACCAAACCACAGCCAAACACTCTGGCTCAATTTTGATGTAGTTTTTCGGCAAGGGTGAGTACAAGAGTGGCATATGGAACAACTTTCTTTGGAGAAGACTTGTCGTGTTGTTTAAAAACAACTTCTATACCAAGGCCGCTGGCGTCGGTATGGAGAATAATCGGTGCGCCTTTGTCAAAGTGGCAGATAAAAGGTTCAGATGTGAGGGCCCACTTCAACAGGTCGAAGGCAGTTTGACATTCTTGAGAGCACCGAAAGGGGACGTTGGAAGCAAGTAGTTGGTGTAATGGAGCAGCTATGGAGGCAAACTTCTGGATAAATCGGTGAAAATAGAAGTCGAGGCCAAGAAAACTGCGAAGCTCGTTGTGTCTTTTAGGACACGGAAAGTGATGGACTGCTGAAATATTGTCAGGGTAGGGCAGAATTCCATCTCTGCTAAAGATGTGTCTTAAGACCTCGATAGATTTGCTAGCGAAAGAGCTTTTCTTAAAGTTTATTTGAAGACCAGCACCGGCAAGGCACGTCAGAAGTTGGCCCAATTGTTCTAGGAGCTCAGGAAACGTTGAAAAAAAGACAAAAATGTCGTCCAGGTAGCAAAGACAACTTTTCCATTTCAGGCCACGCAGCACGGTGTCTATCGTGAGCTCAAAAGTCGCGGGCGCGTTGCAGAGCCTGAAATTCATCACGTGTAATTCATATAGCCTGTCGGGAGTTGCAAACGCCATTTTCTCCTTATCGTCTTCATCCATGGGAATCTGCCAGTACCCAGAACGCAAGTCGATGCTCGAAAAGAGTCCCACGCTTTGTAGAGAATCCAGGGCGTCGTCAATGCGTGGCATAGGGTACACGTCCTTGCGTGTGATCTTATTGACACCCGGTAGTCCAACACAAAAATGAAAAAGCCATTCTTTTTACGGACAAAAACAATAGGAGACGACGATGGACTAGATGAGGGTCGGATGACTTCCCGTTTAAGCATGTCAGCAACGCTGTCTGCTATTTTTCTTTCAGCTCAAGACATGTGGTAGGGTCGGCGGTGTACGATAAATACCTCAATTGTTTGAATTTGGTGTGGTGTAGTAGAAGTGCGGCCCAGCTTAGACGAGAAAATACCGAAAGAATTTGCGTGTTTCTGTAACAATGCGAGTAGCTGCTGCATCTGTGAATTTCTCAAGTCGCTGATGATGGCGGTCATGCTCAAAGTCGGCAACACGGGCCGACTTTATATATATAAAAATAAATAAATAAATAAGTAAATAAATGTATATATATATATATATATATATATATATATATTTATATATATATATATATATATGTGTGTGTGTGTAATGTGCGTGTTTGTGTGCAAACATCATAAATACACGAGAAGAAAAGACGAAGTTTTATCGTGCGATCGTTAGTGTACTTGGCTGATGAATTTTCAATTTTTGTGTGTCATCGTGCATCGTCGGCAGCCAGCACAGCGTGTACTCGTCCTCAAGATCACTGCTCTACTGCCCCCTCCCCCCCCCCCCCCCCGAAAAAAGAGGCTAGTTATGGAGGAGATGGTAGACCTACCTAGCGGCGGGGTTAGACCTGCCACGGCAAGGAAACGGCTCAGCTCTTCAGTCGCTTCAGAAGCTACCGATTCCGAGTATGATGCTAGGTAGGAAGACTCGGAGACTCGGATGCCTTTCTACATACTAAGCACCGACGTCCAAGACGGAAGTCGGCGGCACCGTCCTCAAGTGATGAGACCGTAATATACAACAGCACAGTGACTACAACAGTTGCTTTTATGCCCGTAGACGTCACTGTGAGCCTGGCCGCTGTCTCTAAGCAGAAGCCTTGTGACATTTTTTTTTCAAGTTTGATTCATTAAGTTCTAGTAAATTCCAGGAAAAATATTATTGCCGTAGGCACAACGGGTGAGAAGAGGATGCAAACCCTGCTATGTCTATTTAAGCTATGCAACGTCAACGTGCGGGCTTTTGCTCCACATGGGGTTAATGTAGCAGCTGGTGTTATATCAGATGTAGACCCAGAACTTTCAGACAACGTTTTGAAAAGTATAATCATTTGCACGCCACCGTGCTAAGTCATCAACGCTCAAAGATTTCACTCTTCTAAATGTTTGAAGATTCTTGTCGGGTGTGAAAAGCTACCTAGTCACAGAAAGGCCGGACAAGTGTGTTATCCAATACGACTTTTCATACCAAAGCCTAAACAATGGCACAAACGTCTCAAAATTTCACATGTACAGGTTTTCTGCATAAGTGGTCTGTGCTCAATGTGACTCAGATCCCAACATGACATTTTGTGGCAGTGAGACATCTCGCTGCCCTAATGTAAGGGTGAACACTTGGCAACGGACAAAAGTGTCCCAAACTAAAGAAAAAGTTGAAGGCCTTGAAAGAGAAAGCTAAGAAGATGGCATCACGAGAAAAGATGCCTAGCCTTAATACCCATCAAGTAGCTAGAACTGGCTCAACTGAAGATGCGTCTGCACGTCTGAGGAATAGTACAGTGAGAGTGAATCGAAGCGATGGAGGGAGATCCCATTTCAGCATTTTGGCAACATTGTGACCTGCGCTTCTATCAAATCTGTCGGACACAACCTCCTCTGAGATCACGCCTCAGAAAACATCGGAACCAGCTGTCTTCCGGTCGAAAATACTGTACACTGCAGATGTCTGCAGTAGAAAATAGTGTAAATAAGGCACTAGAAATGACTCGAGCCAAAGATAATTCCTAACATGTCGCCATTCTTAAGATGCTTGTTAACGTCATCTCATCCCTCACAGCCAGTCGTCAAACGCCAGCAGCGTTAGCCGCACAACAGCTTTTCGAGGCTCTCGTTCTATTTCTCGACAGTCTTCACTAAAAGCAAGACAAACAACCATTCGCAAGCCGCGTTCCTACGTGCTGCAATGGAACGTCAGGTCTCGATGACTGCGGCATGCTGACCTCGTTCTTAGGCTCCTTACAAAGAAGAATCCGCAGGGTGTTATAGCTCTCCGAAAAACCAATGTAAGAAATGATGAGCTTAGACTTCCGGGTTACGTAGGCGTTCGCAGCAACTCCCAATGCATGGTGATAGCGTGTGGATTTTTTCAGTGTACAGACACCACGCATCCAGGGAATTCTTCGAGAGCGTCATTGTACATACGATCTGGTGTTCATTTCGCAGAGATTGACACAAGTGACCTCTGCAGACCTGACCAACAGTGTTTAGTCATAGTTTTAAATTTTTTTATTATTTTAATTTATACCACTCTAAGTCTTCATTTTAGTTTACTTCCGTTACTTCTTTTCTCTTTCGCCCCTCTTTTTTATCTTCGTTTCCTCTGTTTTTTCACCTCTCCCGAAAGAGTGAGCAGGGGTTGTGCCCCTCCAGGTGGCAGTGCCAGCTTGCTTCTCCCTCTTTTCTCTTTGTCCTTGTGAATACGTGTATGCAAAACATATACATAAATAATTAAAGCTTACACGTATGTAGTATTACATGTGGTAAATAATGCAGCAATTATATGTTACGATTGGTATAGTGGTCAAGTTTGAGGGTATTGTATGTCTATACCTAATTAGTAATTCGGTTATCACTTTTAGCAAACTGAAATTACTTCGTCATATATTTATTTCTTATGAATGCAGGTACTAAAATTTGGGTATAAAATATGACTTTGTCCCTGTTGTACTCCTGTGGAATTTTTTTCATAAGAAAGGAGATTTTAACAATTTTTCAAGGCAAAATATACTGAAAATGAGTTAAGCACAAACGTACAGGAACACATTCTTCCAGCCACATTTCTATAAAAGGCCTGTTTGAAGTAACGACACTTCGTTTGTTCCTTTCTAGTTCCTTGCCACTACAATGGAACCACGTATAATGCAAGTTTTCACGAAGCGCTCAAAGATCCTTGTGAATTCTGGTGGTGTCTCCCCAACGGGACAATGGATGTAACGAAGTAAGCAATACTCTTTTTGTGCTGCTTACAGTAGATGCTTGAACTTGTACGAAACTTATATGACTGAAATATATACTCCCGAGAATATGAAGCACCTCTTTTATGAAATGCGTGCTTTAACCGTACTTCAATGCAAGAACATGCACAGATGTCAAAAATTTGTAGTTAGTCCACGACTCAAAAGTTATTGCTGAGTATCAGGCTGAAGACGAAAATGATTGGCTGCAAGCACTTCATGTTATTCAAAGCTAAGTGGTTCGTTCAAGTAATTGTGATTATTTACTAGAATAAGTTGTAACATGCTCCTCAAACGCCAACTTTCACATTGAATGTAACCTGCAGCTCATCGTGGACACGAATTTGAATGGTATGAATTTGCGTACCTATGATGGTAGTCTCGAAACATTGATTATCTCGTTGACGCAACCTAATTAGTAGGTACCAAGGATGAATAAAAAAATGCTGGAGTGGAATTAATACCCTACGAGTGAATTAAGGCGCGCCTCTAGGAACATGGCGGCTGCGGCGGCCGTTTTACTAGGGGCATGATAAAGTATCACCATTTATCGATTAAGAACGGAGCGTTCCCCGCGCACGCTCAACGAGTTTAATGTGGGAACTTTTTTGGGTCACACAGTGCTCCGAGATCGTCTTAGTGTTACTAGACTTCCTTAGTGAGCTTCCAATTGGAGGCAAAGTACTTCGGAAACTAAGTCACCCATACTCGTTTCTGTGTGTTATCTTGTCGGGAACAACCACCTTTTATTATGAAATTATCGTAGAATTTGCACTTGCATATCAAAGCCACTTAATCTTTAAGTGGGCACTATCAGAAAAGAGCATGTTTCCGCCATCTTGGCAGTGGCAAAAGGTGGCTTCACTTCTGCTGGCAAGGCATTGCGGAAGCTTCATCTCCCGCAATATTTTTTAAATCCTCCTTGGTAGGTACACAGCCACTAGGAAGATAATAATGATGATGGTTCCCCTATGGCGCTTTGCCACTCAGGAGGATTCGTCAAGAATTTCTGATATAAAATTTTAGCTTTTTTATGTGATACATAATCCTAAAAAATAAGAAGGATAGAGCAAACGTAAAAACGGAAAGGGTGCACTATTTTGTTTATTATTAGAAGTGGAAGCAGCTTATTCATTCACAATCGAGCAAGAGACCCTCTCCTCAGGCCGAAGCGGAGATGGTGAGTACTTACAAATGAGAAGATGAAGAACCAAATTACTGCTCACACTAAATTTCCAGGTTGACGAAGCGGCCAGTCTGGCCGGGACTTAGACTTGCGAGAGACTTCGAAAGGAAAGTTTTAGTGGGGAAACGGGGACTATCTCCAAATAACGGCAGAGACGGTCGTTGGAAACGCCAACGGGGGTGATACAATAGTTAATAAGGAATGTTTGCTGATTCAGGGCCCTATATGTTTAGGCTTTCCAGGTTTTCAGATTTTCAGTGTGGTTTTCAGGGCTGTAGATTGGAAGAGTTTAGGATAACAGTTAATGTAGAGTATCTTAGTAACCTGCAATTCGCTGGTGATATTGTTCTGATGAGAAACTCAGGCCACAAATCACAGCTCATGATTACAGAACTGGACGCGAAAAGTAGAAGAGAGGGTCGGGAAATTACTATGAATAAATCTGAAGTGATGTCTCGACAGATAACAGCACTTTGCAATAGGTGGAGAGACGCTGAAAGTTGTAAAGAAATATATCTAATTTAGTACAGGTACTGACCGCGGAAATAAATGATGAGACTGAAGCAACTAGAAGAAAAGGAACATGGTAGATCGAATTCGGCAAGCATTGTCATATCATGACTGGTCATCTAACACTAACCCTCAAGAGGAAGGTATATAACAGCTGCATTCTGCTGGTACTTTTCTACGGAGAAAAAGCCTGGAGGCCTTTAAAGAGGGTTCAGCTTAAATTGATAACGACGCAGTGAGCGGCCCAAGGAAATTAATAAGCGTAACCCAAAAAGACCAGAAAAGAGCTGAGTGGATAAGCGAACAAACCGGGGTAAAGAATATCACATTAGAAATCAAGAAGAAATGAGCATGCGCTGGGCAAGTAGCACGTAGGCAAAATAGGCGCTGTGCATGAAGTTCAACTGACCAGATTCCCGAACGCGCGAAGGTGACACAGATTGTTCATTGGATCGGTGACTTCAAACAGTTCGCACGTATAACGTGGCAGTAGAAAGCAGAAGACTTGGTTGATTGGAGGATTATGGGCGAGGCGTCTGCCCCAGAGTGGGAGTACTCAAGGGTATGATGACAAAACTTGTTTATTCATTACGTAGGGACAAAGGAATCTTAACTGGAACACTTTACACCATCCTGGAACAAGGACAGGTGTCTGAAGCAGGGCTTCGTCACTAGGTCATAGGAAAAAAATTCCGCCATATCCACGAAGTGAATGATGATGAGTGGGCGAAGCTCCGGAGGTAAACCTGGTAAACCATGAATCCTCTGTACATTTTGCCCACTCGATTTTATTACATCGCTCCCCCTAGCGTACGTCGCCGCACTAAATCGAACGATTGCCTTCAACCAATGACACGCGCCATATGTGACATCATTCCTATTTTATAAGATCTCGCGTCTTTCATCAACTACAAGTACCGCTTTCTAGTTTATAACATCTTGCATCTTTTCACCATCAGCTACAAGTACCACCATCTAGTAAACACTACAAGAACTAAATGAGAGGTGGCTACATACAGGAGACGGTACCGCCATCTAGTGAACACTGCAAGAACTAAACTAGAGGTGGCTACATACAGGGGACGGTACCGCCATCTAGTGAACACTGCAAGAACTAAACTAGAGGTGGCTACATACAGGCTACAGGGGACGCACAGCTCACGCCCTAAGGAGCTTCGCCCCTAAAATAGTCACGATGAGAGAACGTGCGCCGCAACTTGCGATTGTTCGATGCTAAGCTGACGAAGCGAGCGATATTTTTTCAAGTCTAGAGACTAACTCGTCTCTTGTAGTCGTAGAATTGTCGGTCGGGCGTAGTGTTATAAGTACTCAATATCACCGCTTTAGTCTGAGTACAGTGGATCTGGCTTGAATGGAATAAAGAGGTTTGCGGCATGACCATTGTCTAAGAAATTAAATATCGTCATGAGACTCCAGAAGTACAAAGGCTTTTTAGTTAACCTAACGTAGCCAGCTCTCGAAAATTGCATCTGTCGCGGCTGGTTTTCGAGCGAAAAAGAAGCACGCGATCTTTTTTTTTTCTTTTTAGGGCGAGATCCACTCTTGCTTTCAACTCATCACATGCAGGTGGCATTATGCCACCTGCCAAAACAAGCAGAAAAAAACAAAACGAGAAAGAAAAAACAACAATAAGTAGCATCTCCCCAATTTTTAAGCACGGGCGCTCAAAGAAAAAGTAAATAAAAGCCAAGATAAAGGAAAGTAGAAAATAATGAGCGCGACAATAAAAAAATCAGCATATTCATGGAGTCAATGAAGATAAGGGGGGCGAAGCGTCCATCGGTCTGTCTGTGCGCCCGTCAGTCCTTCCGTGCGTTCGTTCTTGCTGCCGTCTGTTCGTGTGTCCATCAGTGCCTCTGTTCATGTTTCCATTCGTCCATGCGTCCGGATGTATGGACAGACAGAGGCACGGATGAACGATGGTTGCACAGACAGAAGCGCGAATGAACTGATGGATGGATGGTCAAAATTAAGAACGAACGTACCGAAGCACGGACGTCTGGACGGATGGACGGGTGTAAGGATTAAAGCACGGATGGACAGAAAGATGGACGGACAGAAGCGTGGACACATCGATGGATGAACTGAGGCACGGAGGCACGGATGAAGGGGACGGAAGCACAGACGGATGGATGAACGGGCGGACCACTGGATGGACGGGCGGACCACTGGATGGACGGAAGCATGCACAGACAGATGGACGTACGCGTGAATGATAGGACAGAAGCATGGACGGATGTACGGACGGGTGTACGGGAGGATGAACGGGTGGATGAATGAACGCACGGACGGTTGGACACACGGATGGTTGGATGGACGCTTCGACCCACTCATCATCGTTCACTCCGTGCATGTCGTGCATATTCTTGGGACGAGTGAATGAGAGTAATATTCCAAACTGGAAAAGTTGGAAACAATTCATTGTAAGAGGTAAACTGCGTGATGATGATGATGACGATGATGATGATGTTTTTTCATTAAATTTTTCAGTTGAAAGACTGCGCTTGTCTTGTGTCTTACTATTTTTCTGTCCTCGTTTTTTTGCGCTGTTTACCTCTCACAATGAGTAAAGGAGAGGCACGAAGCGGGTGCCGAACGCGGAAGCAGGGTAACGGTGCACGAGGAGACGAGTCACCCGAGGGCACGCACACCAGCCACGTAGACGCAACAGATTGGTTGGATAAAGGCTCGTGGCATGCGACCTGAGCTGTGAAGAAAAAGTTCACCGCCTTCCCGAAGGAAGTTGTGAGGAAATGCGAATGCACTGCGTAGCGTTTATAATGACGTTCAGCAAGTGAAAACCCAGCATTAGAAGAATAGTGTTTTCTTTTTTCTTGCACCGCGCAGTAAATAGCGCTGCAAGAAACGCGGTGTTTCCAGCTCTAGTAGCTACCATGCGTGGTTAAGAAACACCATGAAGCGAACAAAACAGTTCTCGGCTTGGCGTTGGCGTTTCACAGCGGCGCCTCAAGCATATATTTCGGAATGTTCTTGAGAAGGCGCCCAGCCAGCGAACGGTGGATAGTGAGGCGCGAGCGGACCGGAAAATTGGGCGCAGAGAGGAGAGAGAGTGAACGGCGAGAGGAGGGGCAAAGCACTGCATCTACCCTCTCCTACACTCTCTCACACCACATGCTCCAGTTGCCAGGGGTGAGATCAAGCGCACGCGCCCGCAGCTGTTGCTATTGGAGAGGGAGTGAGAGTTGAGAATGAGAGCGGCACCACGGATGCCGCAGACAACTCCGGAAGTTTGGCGAAACCCGAATA